CTCGCACAAACCAGTGAATAGGAACGGCAAAAATTAGGTTACGAAGCTGGATGATGAAACGAGTTTGAAAGTTTACCGACATGTTTTAAACCATAAATTGTGTATTTAGACCTTCGTGCAGTTGAATCTTCGAGTGGTAAAAAAGTTGCAGTTACACTACTCATAAAGTTGCTGAAAACTCTTGGACAGCTCATGACCGATTTCGCTCCTTTTTGGGCTCAAAAGGTAGGTGCAGTCCTCGAGTTTTCGTCAACTTTATGCTGAACGAACTTCGACTTCTAAACTCATCTGCACAACGATTTGGCTTTGAAGGAGAACATCATAGACGAGGTATTCAGCTGAGTTCCAGGTATGACTCCCGTGAAAGCATGCAGATGCATGCATAAGTCGAATTGCCGTGGTCGACTTTGGTTTACTCTCTGCCTCTTCCACAAGTCCATGTCTTTTTTACTCGGTCGACAGCGAGACTTGAACCCAGTGAACGATATGTTCCCGAAACGCTGTCCCAGGTCGTTCAAAAAACATGCTTCAAGTTTTTTTACCCGTCTACCCACTGGTTTGATTTATTTGCATCTAAAGGTCCCAAACCTGGTTGCTGGGAGTCAGCTAGAGTAACTCACTCTTCCTAAAAATCCTCCCTCAACTTGTGCCAGTCGCATTTAGTTCTACTCGACTTAACTCTTCTGAGAGAGAAGCGGAGACAACGCTAGTTTTGAACCACAGCTGCGCTGGTAATTGCCGTCTTCCTGGATGGGGACCCCGAGACGGCACATCGAGGGCTGGAGACATTGTCAGACATGCCCCAATCGCGCCCTCAATGGCGCTCGTGCATCAAAGCTATTGCCTTCAATGCATAGCTTTTTTCCACCACCCACCCCCCACTTGACAGCCCACTGACAGTGCTGGATTTATGCACCTACTTACCAGCTCGCGCCTTCAATGCGCAGCTACCTCCCCCCTCCCCCAAATCATCGGTGAACGAAACTGCGGCAGCTGCAACCACTGTACGACAAGTACGCGGTTATTACAGCTGACAATGATGATGATGATGACTTCCTCATCAGACTCTTGCGCTCTGTGTTTGCCGTCGTATCTGCTGGGTATTTCATCACCAGAAACGGTGGAGTTAACCGAGCGCTATTACCGGACCACAGTAATGCCTTCCGAAAGCCTATTTTGAGCTCAATTCTGAAACTTTCTAACCGAAACACATCGATACCTTTTGCGATGAGTTAAACGGAGAGACGCAATATCACCCAAGACAGATGTGGCACTTCCCTGCTTTCCTCCTAAAATCCGATAACCTACCTACGTTTTACTCTCATTCATATCAAACGCACCTCTCCCCGTCACTATTTCGTTAGGGCTGCGCCTATAGTATTGTTGTCCGCTGCGCATACTCGTGTCCCCTACGATCTGTTGAACGTGTTTAAACGTCTCTTCCAGTTATTTTCGCGATTATCGTAAGGTCCCAACAAAATTGCGCACACAGAACTATTAACAACCAGAAATCCGATCTCAACTCTTCTATCAGACACTTAGAAATCTTACTGGTCGAAACATGTTGAGTCAGCCATCATCATCATCAAAGACAGCAACATCAGCGTTGTTACTGATGCTTCACTGCCGTACAACCATAAGGTTTGTCTGGTTATATATATATATA